TGCAAGTAGCAATGATGAATGAATGAATGTCAAAAACAAATGAATAAACTATTATGATGATGATCAGATGTAATGTTCCTGCGTTACCTGTGTGTTACCTGCGTGTTAAATTTGAGACACACTTCATTTGTTTTGCTTTGTCTGATTGTGTCTACATTGGTCAATCGATGATCAAAATCTGAAACAAGAAACAAAAATCTTGTCAACAGTTAAATTAAATTTTTTTGAAACAAAAGGTCAAGCGTTTTGTTTTTGTTTTGGACCAATCAACAAGTTGTAATTTCATTTTCTGGAAATTACGAAATTGAAATGAAAAGTTTTTTTCACATTTTCTACAATAATTTACAATTGGTTTCGAATCCATTCATTCATGATCCTGGTTTTTTTTAAATTTTGTTCTCTTGATTGATTCCTAATGATCATTATCATAATTCAAAATGATGAAAATGAAAAGAAAAATATTCTCAGGATTTTCTTTTTTTTCTCAATTATCATCACCTGTGAATAATGATGATGATGATGATGATGACGAAAAAAGCTTGAATTCTGCGTTTCGCGTACTGTGAAACTATCCATAATGATTATGTTATGAAATCATATTTACATCTGATGATGATGATGATGATGATTGACTATGGCTATTTTTATTTCAATCAAAAGTCACGAATTTGTCGTTTTGTTCATCCGATGTGAATTTTCTTTTTTCCAGTTTCTTTTTTTCTGAATCAATTTTTTTGCGACAAAACAAAAATAGCAAAAAAAACCAAGCAAATCAAATTGGAAATTTTTCTCTGGAAACTCTGGAATCTCATCACATTCATTCAATGTTTGAAAGAAACTTCTTTTTTTAATCAAACATGGAAAAAACACTGAAACATTTTTGCAACGTAAAAAAATTTTTCGATATTTTTTCTCGGATATTTTTGTTGTTGTTTTCATTGTCCATTTTTTTAACGATAACGATGATAATGATGGATAACAACAACAACAACAACAACAACATTGACCTGAAGACCTAAACCTTATGATGATTATGATTAACATTTGGCTTATTGTCGTTTATTATTTTGATTTGATGTTATGTGTCATTAACAAGCGACGACAACAACGATGTATCCCAATCCAATCTAAAAAAGAAATGAAATGAAATTTAGCCAACAACAACAAAAAATGATGACAAGTGACAATGAAAAAACAGAACAAAATGAAGGTCAACAACAAAATATAATGATGAACGATATGGCCAAAAAAATGTTTTTTAAATCTTCAATTAGATAAACATTTGTCTACGGATATAACCGGAGAAAAAAAGAAATGTAAATCGGCCATCAATTTTTGCATTCAAAATCACCATCATCAACGAGAAAACAACATCGTCGATGTTTTGAGAGTTTTCTTCACTCAAATATACATTCGGATCTTACCTGTCATCATTACTTGTTGTTGTCCGATGATGATGGTCATCATCATCCAATATGCGATAAGATGTTATTTAAAAAGAGACAATCAAATTTTACAAACCAACCAAAAAAGAAAAGAAAAAGATCGAATGATTGAATGACATATATGGTTGAATGAATTCTTCTCATTTTTTGATGATGAAGAAAAAGATTTTTTTCTTCAAAAAAAATGGCAGGAAAAATAAACGAACATAAATTATTCTTTCGAAGAAAAAAATGCTCATTTTTTCTGGTTCAAGATCATCATCATCATCAGTTGATTCAATACCATTCTCGACAAGATAATAATTCTTCGACATTATCGACAAATGATGATGATTATGATGATAATAACTATATGGATTCTCATTATATATTTGGCCATTTTTTCTCAACTTCATCTTCTATGGCTGATACGGATGATGCTAATAACCACGATGATGATGATGATGATGATGATGTTCACAAATGATTTATGTGAATGTTTGTTTTGTTTTGTTAAGGATTTTTTTTTTGTTGAAAGAACCCTTCGAACAAACAAATATTTGAAGTTTTATTTTTCCTGTTTTGAACAACAGGAAAAAAAATCTATCAGCTTTTTGTTTGTTCGCTGTTGTTATCATCTGATTGAAGATGTGGTGTTAAAATCCAAGCGTAAATCTTATTAATCCAATTATCAACTGATTCAAGTTTTTTTTGATGAGAAAAAAACTTGAGCATTTTGTCCAGAATGTTTTTCTTCAAAAAAAAAAAACTGTATTCAAATCACATTTTGAATCGGATGTTGGTGTAGAAAAAAATTTGCATTTTTTTATCTCCTTTTACCTTAATAAGCAAAAATGAAATGAGAAAATTATGCAAACACAAACACAAAGTGAAAAAAACAACAAATCAAAACTAACCTTGAATTTTATGTAATATTCCATACAAAAAATTGAAAATGATTTGTATCATGCATGATGATTATTATTGATCATTATCACGCGATAATCACCAATGATGATGCCAGAAAATATATGGTTCAAACAAAGCAAACAGAATAAGACAAACACACATAGATATAGATAATGATCATCATTACTTACTTACTTATCATCATCATCATTAAACATTAGCATCATCAATGACATTACAAATCAGATGAGGCGACTGCAAAAGTGATAACAAATTATTATTATTCCGAATAATTTTACCATTAAAATAATAATAATAATAATGTTACCTTGTTTTTTTTCTGCGAAAAAATTACCATCAATTGATCATTTGAATCCATAGGTATTCCAGAAAATTTTCCAGAAAATTCAAAAAATAATTTATTATTTCTTTTTGTGTGTGTGCACGAGAACTGTCGAGAAAAGATTCAGATCAAAGCCGGCCACCGATGGCAATTCAAATAAATATTTTATCCACTCGACAGGTGTATTTTTCTTTCGTTTCTTGATAATTTGTCATTGTAATGTCGAATTTAATCATCGACTTTTAGTGATAGATGGTGGTGGTGGTGGGAGTAGAAAGGACCATAGTAACGTGTCAATTTTTGTTTTGAAATGATTTTCCCTCATCAAACCGATAATGATTATTATGGTAATGATTCGATGATTTCTTTGATCTTCGGATTTTTTTCTATTTTCCACAGTGTAGGTGGTTTTCGATTCTCTTCACATAAAAAAATTACGATTTGATTTATCAAATGAAATTATTTTCATTTCGAAATGATCTTTTATGAGAAAAAATGTCTTTTTTCTTGACAAATTTGGTTCGAAATTTTTTGGCTTCGTTTTGTTTTAATAATACTTTAATGAAAAACGAAGAAAAAAAATCAATTTTCTTATCTTAAATTGATGATGATGTTTTTGGATGTGGATGATTGAAGAAGTTTTTTTTTTCCTTTTAGAAGAGCAAAAACAAAACAAGATCAAGGTTGAATGATGAGTTGAAGACAACATTCCATAATTGTTCGCTATTCTTTTCATCTGATATAATCAACTTATCGTCCGTAACAAATATCATCATCATCATCATTTTTTTTAATCGTTGACAAATTGAAGAAAAAAAAATGTAATTTTTTCACATCAAAATTCATTCACTTTTTGTTCATCTGATGATGATTATTACATGGATTACTTTGATTAAAATTATAACCGAAAAAATTTGTAAAAAGTTTATTGAACCTTGATGATGATAATAATGATGAAAAGATTGATTCCGCGGAAAAAATTATTTTCTTCTTCTTCCAAAATCGAATGGAATTTTCGATTTTGACTATTTTGACCGAAACATACGCCTCTGTTTATTTTGTCAAAAATTTTTTTTTTTTTTGAAGAAAAATGTCCAAAACAATTAACAATTTAACAGAAGAAGAATCTGATTGAAGATTTTGAGATTCGAATTTTAATTGTGATTGATTCCTATATCAATCAATCAATCAATCAAAACTGAATTAATTAATTTTTCTTGTTTTCGTGTTGTTTTTTTTTTGTTTTTCACCGAATAAAGTTTGATAATGGAATTTTTGATCAATTTAATATGATAAATATGATAAATAATTATAGCTTTTCCATCAAACGATTTGAAGAAACTTGATTTTTGGTTTGATTTTTTCTTCTTTTACAAAAAAAATATTTCAAATTCAACAATTATCTCATCACATTGATAAATCGAACGGGAAAAAAAATCGAACAGAACTGAACATTCGATTTGCGATTGAGCAATAATATCGTTCCTGTTTGGTTTTTTTTGTTGTTGGATCAACTTTGTATCGAACAAAAGTTTTTTCCTTGTTTCTTTTTGTTGAACAACCAAAAAGAAAAACAAAATGAAAACATCAAAACATCAAAAACCGATCAATATAACCCGATCAAAAAATGTGATTGATTTGTGACGGCGGTATCTACTTTGTCTGATAAAAGAATTGAATTAAATGGGATAATGTGATGATGTCCATTGATGAATGGCGAAAAATTCTCATAAAAGAAACCATCAACAACAATCAATCAATAGATCGGATTAGATTCGCAATTTTATTATTATTCACAAGCCTTTTATTTCTTCATTTATTTGTGATCGACAAAAAATTGTTTTGTGTGTTTTATCCGAGCAAATCTGATCATAAAATGTTTGTTAAATTGTTGTTTTTGTTAAACATTAAATGGGCAATTTGTTTGGAATTTTCATCTCGTTTTACCTTATCACCCACTCACTTCACATTCGAATTCAAATTCTTCGATTTAATACCGTCCCACGAAATTTTCAATCATCCGATGACCTTTGAACTTTTTATTATTATTATTTGATATTGTTAATCTAATTATGATTGATTTTTCATTGATTTTTTCTAATTTTTGTTTTTCTTCCCACAGTTTTCATCCATAATCTTGATGAAGAATAAAAGAAAACCCCTCGAATGGAATGAATAATGAATTTAAAAAAAGAATCAAAATCAAAAACATCATCCGCAACAACAACAACAACAAAATCGTGAAAAATGAATGAAAAATTAAATTGATAACATCGTTGAAAAGGAAAGAAAAAAAAATGTCTTCACTAACCAAAAATCGCTGTTATTATCATCATAGGATTTTCAAGATTTGGAAATTTTCAACAATATGGCCACCATCAATCATATCGATGATAATAATTTTATATGCTACCGTATTCACTATAATCAATTGTCAATGTCCATGGCCACGAACACCAATACATGTATCATTACATTCAGATTGTGTTTGTGGTTATTCAAATGTACGACGTCTTTCGGTACAATGTTCACCGATGGCAAATTTTAGCCAATTATTAGAGGTATTAAATTCACCATCCGTACAACGATTACCGATCGATTTATTATATATAAATAATGCAACCGGATTAAGTATTTTACCAAAAAATGCATTCAAAAAATTAGATATTCAACAATTACATTTGGCTAATACATTTTTGGAAAAAATTGATAAAGATGCATTCGCTGGTTTGGAAAATAAACTAAATAGTTTAACATTACAAAATACTGGTTTGAAAGAAATACCGGCAACTATAAAAACATTAAAATCATTAAAAACACTTGATTTATCAAATAATCGTATTCGTCGTATACGGCCACAAGCATTTGAAGATTTAAATCAATTATCAACATTACGATTAGCATTTAATCATGATATTCATCTTGATATTAATTCATTTAATGGTCTTGGTCGTACATTAAAAAATTTAAATCTAAAAGGAATCAATCTGAAACACATTCCGGATGCAATATTAAATCTAACTGAATTAGCATTTTTAGATTTGGCACAGAATAAAATTGAAGAAATTAAACCAAGAATGTTTCGTAATCATCATCTACTGACAGCATTATCATTGGAAAGAAATCTAATACGTTCAATGCATCCAGATACATTTGTTGGTCTTAATGATTCACTTAGTTCACTTTCATTATTGAATAATATGTTGATTGAATTTCCTTTGTTAGCATTAAGTAAACTTACTGGATTAAGGGTGAGTTAAGTTATTTTAAATTTAGTTTTAAAATTTTTCAATATTTTTTTGCAAAATCTCTAGGTTCTTGATTTAGGTTTCAATGCTATTCGTCAATTACCCGAACAATCATTTCGTTCAAATGAATTATTAACATTATTAGCATTGGATGGTAATCCATTAAAAACATTATCATTACAAACATTTAAACATTTAAATAATTCATTACGTGGTTTAAGTATTGGTGGAAAATTTTTTGAATGTGATTGTAAAATACGTTGGTTAGCTGAATGGTCACGTGAATATAGTTTACAGATAACAAGTCGTGAAAGAAATCCACAATTTTGTTCAAGGCCACCACATTTACGTAATAAATTATTTACCAATATTGATTTGGATGATTTTGTTTGTCCACCATTGGTTTCGATTAATAATCCAATATTATCACCGATAACATTGATTCCAATGACAACAACAACAACGACGACAATCAAAATGAATCCTACATCACCAACTCCAAAACCATCGACAGCCACAACGATGATATCAACAACAACAACAACAACAAAGAAAATAACCACACCGTTAACGACAACTACATCGAAATCTACGCAAACTGAAAATTCATCATCATTAGCAAATGTTGTAACCAGTTATGTTCATGTTGTACCGATGATTAATGAGGAAAAAATTGATCAATTTTCACCAACAACTCGTGCAACAACATTGAATAATAATAATAATGTTTCACAATGGAATAATAAATCTTGGCAATCACCAACATCAACTATTCGATCTTCTTCATCGAATTCAAATCATCATCATCATCATCATCACCAACATCAATCAATTGGTCCGGCAACATTAAAATTAACCGATGTAACATATAGAAATGGATCGATACATTTACGTTGGGAAACATTACGACCAAGTCAATTAGGATATCAAATACTTTATCGATATTTTGGTTCAAAAGAATTTTATCGTTCTGAACTTTTAATACCATTAACAAATAGTTATACTATTGATAAATATATTGCACCGAATGAATTGATTATTGTTTGTGTTGTTAATCTTGATTTAAATGATCCGGAAATAAATAATTATGATGAAGAAGGTGAAAATATTATACCAAATGGTCAATGTAAAGAATTGAATACACGAGAACCAATTGTAAAGAAAACAATGCCAACAATACGTACTACTGGTTTGTCGTCTGGTACACCACCAACAACAACATTATCATCATCATTTTATCCAACATTAAAACGATTAAATGATATTGATAAAATTGTTATAGGAATATCGGCTGCCGTTTGTTTATTTATTATAATTGCTGTATTAATATTTAGCTGTTGTTTTTATCGTTCATCATCAAAAGATTCACCATTACGAACATTATCAACAAATGCTACTTGTTTATCAACAAAATCATTATCACCATTAGCTAAATCAACATTTGATCATGAATGGGAAACTGTTTCGGTTTATAGTACAAGAAGTATTCCAAGAGCACGTATTACACATACAATACCTATTGGTCCACAACCAACAGATACATTACGATCATCATCACATCATCATCATAATGGTTATACACATCCTGTATCACGTTATATTGGATCAACATTACCTCCTCCACCACCACAGCCGTTAACATTACAAAAATCAACAAATTTCAATAGTCCATGGTTAGAAAGTTATCTACATCATTATCCATCAGTAAATCATTTACATGCAATTAGTTATGGAACATTGGTTACTGCAAATGGTGGGGGTGGTGGTGGTGGTGCATCAATACCATATGTAACACATAATGGTCAATATAGTATGGATACATTTAATAATGGTCATCTAATTGAACGTAATAAATCAAATCATCATCATCAAAAGCAACATCAACAACAATCATCATCATCTAAATTGGAAAAAAATCGTCAACAACAACAACGACAACAATATTCAAAAAGCCATATTGATCTACGTAGTAATACCGATAGTAATGGTAGTAGTAATGGTGGTTGTAGTTCAAATCGAATGTTATTATCATCAACAAGTACAGCTAGTAATTCATATCAATCACAAAATGATTATGATTCTGATCATCATCATCATCCAAATCATCAATATTGGAATAATTCACATCATCATCAACAACAACAACAATCACATCGAACAATGACACCAGCATTAAAAAATAATTCATCATCAATATCACCAATAACAACATCATCATTATCATCATCGGGACCAACAACATCAGCATCAGCAGCAGCCACAACATCAACAACATCAGCAAATCAATCGAATAATCCAAATCATCATTCAACAATGATGATGATGATGAATAATGATAATGAAGTTGATATTTATATTGATCAAAATTATGCAAAAAGATTCTATTAATTTAACAAACAAAATGACAGTCATCAATAATCATCATTGCCTTGTGTGTGTGTGTGCCATTGCATTTTTTTTCGTTTTCAACTCTTTCTTTTTTCCCTCACTGCACTAAGCCATAATTTATTTGATCAGATTTTTTTTTGCAGAATTATTATTGTCAAATGTTAAATTCATTGGTGATTCATATTCAATTCGAAATTTATTGTTTTAATTAGTTTTACAAACAAAACATACAAAAATTTTTTTTCTGGTGGTATTTTCTTTTTATTGGATTCCCTTTTTGTAATATAAAAAATAATATTGAACATCCGTACATTTTTTGACATTAAAAATGATAAAAAATCAATTTTTTTTAAATGTGTGTGTATTCTCGATGAAAAGATGAATATTTTTTTTTAATCATTGTTGAAATTCACAAATAATCTGTAACTGTGAATTAAAATCCATTGAAACAAGATCAACATCAGGATTTATTTCATTACCAGAATGATAATATCTGATCGGTTTATTACGTAATGTTGGATACCAACCATAAATCCATCGTTCAATAGTTGATATTGTTATTTTGGATGATACATGTAATTCATGTTCAAAACTTATTTTATCTGGTGCCGATTTGAACATTATGATTAAACGTACAAAAACATGTTCGGATAATGCATTATCGGATTGATTTTTTGGTATAGGCATCGTGGTGGTGTTTTAACACTTGTTTGCAAAAACATCAACAACAAACCTAGCACACAATTAAAATTCGGGAAAAAAATGAAAAAACGTTTTCCAAATTTATTATTGGTTCGGTTGTGTTCTGGTGTGCATACTAATCGAAATTCGAAAATATTTTTTTCTTTTTTTCCGAAACAAATCGAAATTCGAAACGGATAATCCTTTGGAGCGCCATCTATATTCCATCGATTACATTAAAGACAGAATTTATTTTTACAAAATTTTTAAAAAAATGAAATTTTTTTATTTTTATTTTTACAATGAATCTTCATTAATAATCGGTATTGAATGATCATTCATCAATGTTGATTCATTATCATTGTGGATATTATTATTTTGTTGTTGTTGTTGTTGATTTTGATTATCAGCCGCCGATTGATTATCAATCGTTGGTGTTGGTGTTGGTGTTGGTGGTGGTAATTGTTGTATCCATTTGAAATTAATTTTACCATCAATTATATCGGTTGGATAAAGAAATAATTTATGTGAATTAGATTGTACACGAAATTTAAAACCACGTCCATGTAAATGTATATGTCGCATACGTTCTAATTCAAAAATTGATTCACAATTAATATCGATAAAATCATTAAAACAAATCGAAACAGGACCGAAAATTAATAAATTTTGACCCGGTAAAACATTCATTACACGACGATGACAATAATATAACATTATATGTGATTTTTTTCCACCGGTTAACGTTATCAAAATGAAACGATTTTCATACATACGTAATTTAAATTCATTCCATAATTGTTCAGATATGATTGGTCGTAATAATATATGACTACGACCATTCATATTGTTTACTTTACGAAAACGTTGATTCCTATATCGCCATTGATAAATTGAACCTAAATCATCGATTATATTCCATATGATTGATTGATCACATTGTATATATTCAACAATTTCATCAATATTTAATCCGGCAATTGATAACGATAATGATGATAATGATATTTGTTGTTGTTGTTGTGCTGTTTCCATATTATCATCATCAACATCAAGATCATCATCTTCAGGTCGTTGTTGTTCAACTTCATTCAAATTGATAAATGTTCCCGACATTTTTTCTTCAAAAAAAAAACAAAATTTCAATTTCTATCAAGAAAAAAAAATTCATTGAATTCAAACATTCAAATAAATAATTCAAACTCATTGTTGTCGTATTCAAAACGAGGAAAAAAAATTAAATTTTATTTTCATTAATAATTTCGAATGAGAAGAAAAAAAAATTCAACACACTAAAATATCGAACGAGAAAAAAAAAACAAACTACAAGAAACAAAAAAGAAAATGAAAAAAAATATAATAGAATATCAATGAGAAACACTACACAGTTGAAAAGAAAAAGATACTAAAAATTGGTGCAAATCAACTAAGAATTCATTAACAAAACAAACAAACAGAAAAATACTACAAAAAAAAAAGAATGAAACAAAATGCATGTTATATAAATGATGATCATCATCATCTCAATATAGAAAATCACTAAAAAGTTTTTTTGTTTTGTGTGTGTGGTAAACATTGATTCGATAAAAATTATTCAATGAATTATTTTGGCAATCAACAGATATTTGTTTCGTGAGATTTGAATTTGTATATTTTTTTTATATAAAAAAAGATGTTGTTAGTGGTAGCATGAATGAATTGAATTTCATCGGTTTTTGATGTTGTTGTTGTTGTCCTCTTCAAATCGTGTTGATCGAATTCCGGTTTTAGAAGAGAAGAGTAAAAAGAAAAAATAATCACAATGATACGAAAGATTATAATAAATGTTTGTGGTAAAAAAAATTGTTTTCGATCAAATGTGGCAGCAATATGAGATTTGATTTATCGATTCCGTGATGATAATGATGACCCTGATGATAAACGCCAAGACGTGTATGTGGTGAATGGTAATTTGAGAAAAAAAAGAAATAATCATTGGACACAGTTCTTCCTCAGTTGATTATGAAGATGCAGCCGTAATTGCACTATTATTATTATCATTAAAATTATCCAAATCATTATTGTCACTAGTATTGTTAGTATTTGTTGATTTTGAGCTAGATTGTTGTTGTTGATTTTCTTGATAATCATCATTATTCAATTGTAATGCCGGTTCTTGTTCTTGATCTAATTGTTGTTGTTGTTGATTTTGTTGCCGTTTTGTTTTTATTGTTTGCAATTCACGAAGATTTTCTACATCTTGTGCGCTTATATGCAAAAATAATATACCATTTATAACATTCAATAATTCCATCACCGAATTAATTGATGGTGGCTGTATCTGTATTGGCGGTATAATTGTATTCATATTGCCTTTATAAATTTCATTCATTTTTTTCTGCAATACAACAGCCTGATTAGTTAGATGTCGTAAACAATCGGAACTTTCTTTAGTTTTTTCATGATTTTCACCCAATTCTTTTTTATAAATCATATAGGTTTCTTTTTCATTATTCAATGCACCACGAAAATCACCCATACAACTTAATGTTCGTGCCAAAAGATGATAACTTAATGCTACTTTTAAATTTCTTTTTCCAAAATATCGTAGATTCAATTGTAAAGCATGTTCCAAAAAACGTAATGAATAATCATATTCACCAATAGCATGTAATATAAGACCAATATTGCTCTGTAATTGTAAGTTGATTAATTAAATAAAAAAGAATAATTGTCATTCGATAAAAAAACACTTACATCAATAATGGCCATTTCCGGATGATTTTGACTATGAATCAATGAAAGTAAATAACGTGTACGATATAAAAATTTTAATGCAGCTGATATTTGTGAATTAGCAAAACTATATAAGGCAAGAAAATTCTTTAAAAAAATAAAAGTAATTGATTAATTGAAATTGATAATGATAATTTATATGATGTTTATGTTTACTCACGTATTCAGTAATGGTATGTGGATGATCAATTCCATTAACTTTTTCACTCATTAGAACAGCCTTCTGTTGATATGAACATGCTTCACTATAATCACCAAGTACATAATTGATACGACCCAATAATCGAAGACATTGTACAATATCCGGATGTAATGGACCATAAACACTATTGAATAGATTTAAGGCTTCAGAAATATAATCATATCCATCACGAATATTTCCTTCCGAAATTTTTCGTTGTCCATTTTGAAATAAATTATATGCATCATTAGCACGTGGTGAAATATGTTTGACAATTGGAAAAACATTCAATATATCATCATCAGTAAATGCTGGACGACTTTTATGATCAAAATTATATTCACGAAGCAAAACCTGTATGCCAGTACGAATACAAACAATACGAAGTAAAGAAATTTTTTGTATTGAATATCGATATAATAATGATTCCACTGAATCAATATCTTTCGGTGCAATCCAACCATAATAACTATCCATTTCGTTACGTAATTGTGTCCAAAATGATTTCGGTGTCAATGAAAGCCAATCAAAACTTTGTCGATCAATAACATTTTTTCCGGCACCATTTTCATTCGGTGAAATCACCATACGACCATTTCGGAATTTTTTTCCTCTTCGTTTTGAATGTTTGCCTATTTCATCGATGATTGATGGTTGTGTGACTGTCGATGAAAGGAAACAATTCAAAAAATGACTGATGGCTGTTGCCATGTAAACAACTTCAACACTTTGCATATAATTGACAAACATATGTTTGATTGAACGACAAATTAACTCGCAAACAGCAATTGACTAAATTGTGTAAAAAAAATATAATAATCATAAAAAAATAAAACAGATAAAAATTCATCAAAATTACCATAGCATAATCCAATGATTGTTGTTTGGAAAGAATTTCGGTAAATTTACCCAAATATCTAATGTTGATTCCACGCGAACGGAAAGCATCGGTCAATGTCAAACCATCGTATAGATATATTGAATGGTCTAACAATTCTCGTACCTAAATATACAAGGAAAAAAAACAATTATCAATAGAATAATTTTTTTCTTAATTTAATATTGATTACCAAAGTTGGAATCTGTATTTTCACTAAAAATTCGGCTGCATCTTTAATCAATTGTTTTTGCCTTTTGAATGTTTCGGAATCGCTATCAGCGTGAACAACACCAGGTGAAAAAATATCCGGATTAAAACGAACATCAAATTCACAATCACTTAACGATCCAACATCGTTAGCAGCTTTTCGAATAATTTCTTTCGTATTATGTTGTTCATTTTCATTTACAATTGTTTCATTTTCGGTAGAAGTCGATACATTTGCTGTTGTTTTTTCATCCATTTGATTGGCAATTTTGGCTGGTGATACAATTTTTTCGGCAATCTTTTCATAATCCTTTGATATTTCATCATCTTTTTTGTCTGATGTAGTGGATGATTCTTGTTTTGTATCATCTTTATTCGTTTCTTCTTCATTGACAGTTTTCTTTTCATCATCATCATTATCAATATCGGATTTTGATTGAGATTCAATTTGTGCTTGTTGTTTATTTTTATTAAGTAATCCAAGTTTATTATCCGTATCAGATTGTTGCAGATAGAATGAAGCCATTCGAATGAATAATAAATAACGTGATTCAAAAAATGCATCAATAAGCTCTTGACGTAATGATGATAGTTTATGTTTATGACGACGTGGATAACCAGCATCACGCATTTCTTGACTTAATTCTTCACCATCGTTCAATACATAATGTGGATCCGGTGGAAATGTTCGTAACAAATCCAATATATAATGTCGTCCATCATTACCGATAATTCCTTTACATTCGACCGATGAACAAATCTCTACCATTTCACCACCTTGACTAATCACTTTATGTGGAACAATTTTCAATACAGAACCGGCTTTTTTAAGCAATTCCAAATATTTTGGATGTGATACAACATTTTTACCAAAATCAATAGATCCATATACAACCGATTGTTCTTGATCACGTTCGAGTATTCCAGGAATTATACTTTGAGCAGTAACACGATAACCTTTATAATCAACAACAGCCGTAGCTAATGTATAAAGACCATCGATATTAAGTGATGAATAGGCACGTACACCATGTAAATCATTGGATGGTGCAGCATAAGCGGCAGCATCACCACCCACTTCTTTATAATGATCACGAACATCGAATCCTAATGAGAAAAAAATATTATTCCAAATAAACATTTGCATTTTTGTATCTTCGTTTGGATTTAAAGCCAATACATTTCCATCAACAACAGCCATTGCACCACGTGTAGCGGCTGCAACAAAATCCGAATGAACTTTAAAAATAGCTCTTTCACGAATAATACGTTCGGAAAGAGTTTTTCTTGGCAATTCTCTTGTTGTTTGTAATTCTTCATTCCAATCTCTTGTTTGACCGGGCATATGTTCTTCATATCCAAGTTTTGATGAAAAAGCATCTTCAGCACGAATCGAATCAACAGTATGATCAATTTGTGGTGCTGCCCAAGTATAAACCTGATATGGTGTAACTAAACGTTCAAATGGATGTCGTTGATAACGACGTTTCTGTATAATTGAATAATTACGTTTGAAAGCGGCACTTATATGACTTAGTAATTCAACCAATGAATGAAAAATTAATTTCGGATTCGATGGTTTTGGATTGAACACTTCATCAGTAGAAAGATTTACATAAAAACCACGTGTTGATGATGTGATATGAAATCGTTTTTCTTCCAATGTAACTACATAAAGATACATTAAATCACCACGTAATTTTCTATGACCAGGTGGTGGATTCCAACCGGATGCTGTAAGAACTTTCAAGGCAGATGGTGTTTTTGGAAGATCTTTGATTTGTGGCTCTAATGGTGTTAATTGAACATCACAACCTTTATTGATCCCTAATCCTTGTTGATTATTATTATTTTGATTGATATTATTATTATTATTACCATTAGTATTATTGATCGAATTATTATTGGTCACCGATTGATTATTTACATTATTATTATTATTATTATTATTATTACCATTATTATTGTTTGATTGATCAGTAATTGGAAGAACATAATCAGGTGGAAGACAATCCAATAAATCTGATCGTAATGATTTATTTGTTTTCTTTATATCGGAAAGATCATTTTGAGCAATAATATTCATAAATGATAATGAATTACAATCAACACCATTATATGAATCAGACATATCCAATGATTTTAAAAGATCTCGTACATGACGTACATGAATTCGAGCTTCACGAACAGTATATGGTTCTTCAATAACACGAATCATTGAACCTTCTTTGAGACCATCAATATTTTTTAATTCGGAAAAATTATCCAATGTTACACCGTCCAATTGTAATGAAAAACAAGTACGATGACAAGTATCTTCACGATCAATTAATTGATGATTAATTTCTTGTACCAATTCTACTGGACTAACTTGTAGATCAAATGTTTCGATACCCGGTGCCGATAATTTAATATTAAAACTATTATCATGAATTAATACAAAACTTTCATCAATAATATTTGCTGATGATGGTTTTGATGATTTACCATCAATATCATCAATGTCATCATCATTTTTTACTTGTTGATCATTGGCAGTATTATTATTAACAATTGATGGTAATTCATCATCAACATCTTCTTCGGTAAAACCATCACCATTTGTTGTTACCATTTTTGTTGTTGTTGTTGTTGATGAATGATGATTATTACCATTTTGACTGGTTATTAAATCATTCGATAATGTTTGACCATTACCATTTGATTCACCATTTAATGTTGTTGTTGATGATGATGATGATTCTGATTCTGTTGTTGTTGTTGTCGATGATGATGAAGGAGGAGGATCAGTACTACATGCTGAAGGCATTATGATTGTACAAATAGATTTTATCACTTGAATTATTGGATTCAGTTTTTATTTTTGTAAAAAAAGGGTTAAAGTGCTTGTAAAAGTGTCTGAATGTTGTGTAAATAATTTTTCAGCCAAAACAGCAAAGAATTTCTATTTAAAAAAACCTAGAAAAGAAAAGAAAATGAGAAAATCAATGAAAAAATACAACAACAAAAAAAAAGATCAAAAGTTAACAATAACAAAAAAAATAGGAATGAAGGTGAGGTAAGGTCACCATGGAATCGATGATTTACGGATCAATGATTCTCTGTGTGTGTCGTGTTTCTCTTTTGTTAATAATGTCCAGAATATTACAGTTATAAGCACTCTTTTTATTATTTAAATCTTTTACCTCTTTTTTTTCACATGTGGTTTTTTTCCTATAGATTTTTTTATTTTCAATAAGAAAAAAAACCATACAAAATCTATTAGATTTTTTGCCTATATAAAAAAAAATATCAACATTTGATGATGATTATCATCATTATCATTATTTGGATTTTTTTTAATACATCACACCATGTATTTAATCATCATATAATATGATAAACAAAAGTTTTATTATATCAAGTTTGCTTGTTGTTGTTGTTTTTTCTGGTTGAACGAGAAATAAAAAACACAAATTGGTTTTTTTTGATTCAATTTGATCTCATTTTTTGCATTATCATCATCACCAACCTATTACAACAAATGGATCATGAATATTGCCATTTCATCGTATATATTGAAATACCGTGTTTGCGGGTGGTGTTTTGTGATCACCAATTTGGTTGGTTTTTTTCAGAATAGGAAGGAAATGTACATGTGAAATAGTAAATCGAAGCAGCAACAAGAAAAAAAAAGAAAAAGATTAACACATCACACACACACACAGAGAGAGGGAGACAATGATTCAGTGTGTTTATCAATGGCATCAAAGATATCCACCACAATAATCCACAAAAAATAAATATGATGTGATATTTTTCGAACCGAAAAAAACATCGAAGATTCGAATTTCGAATTTTATTTGCAATGTCATCACCATCGAATCAAACTATCGATTCTTTTGATTCGATAGTGCATCTCTCCGCTATCTCCCTTAAAACCGCATTCGATTTTTTTGTTTGTTTTTGTTTTGGAAAACGAAACGAAAAACAGAAGAAAAATAAACTTTTTTTTAGAGAATAACTTCTGTATGTTTTTTGATGTGATAAAAAAAATTGAAGAAAAACCAAAAAAGAAAAAAGATCAACAAGGTCATCATCCAACAACAACAACTACGAAGACTGCGACGACTACGAAGAAGACGAAAATGTTGATTATATTAGATTATTATTATATGAATTTCATTGCACACACACACATTGAAGACAACAACAACAACACTAAATGCTGGATGAAATTTAGATGTTTAAATAAATGAAAAAACAACAACAACAAAAATGACATCTAAACGATCATCAGATTCAAGCAACAACAAAAAAAATATCGAAATTCACAATTTATTTTCTTTGAAATGAATATTGTCGTCGTCGTCGTTGTTTGACGATATGGCATTTGACCTTTAAGCTGATTTTATTCATTTGTGAACATTTCTTATCTTACCATTCAGTGGGGAAAAGAAATTTTGTTGAAAATTTTTATCTTTTGGAAAAACAAACAAACAGCAACAAAAAATCTAATGAAACTCGAATTTTTTTTCACGATGAAACGATGCCGGTCGTCTGTTCTCAAAAGATTATATCGTTTTTGTTGTTGTTGTTGTTTTCTGATGATGACCTCTCTCTCACTTTTTGAATGAGAATAAATTCCATACATGCATATGATGAAATCTTCAAATAGAAACGAAATCCTATATAATGTGATGATGAAGAAAAGTAGCGAAAAAAGTGTGGAAAAAGTCAATTCTTGACGGCTATATAGCCAATTTTTTTTCGTAGTAGCAAAATCTTTATCATATGAATTGTGAAGAATCAATAAATGAATGAATGAATGATGCAGTAGTTTGTGCGAGAAGAAGAACAAAAAAAATTGTAGCAAAAACCAATTTTTCAAAGAAAATTGTTGAAAAAGTAAATGCCACTACCACTTTGGAATTTCGAAAAAATTGATGATGATAATAATTTTCATTTCGTTTTCAATTTAACCTATCACACCATTATCATCATCATGATTTTTTCCACGAAAGAAAAAATCATTCATACAAGTGAAGAAACACAAAAAAAGCATGCTTTTTTAAATGGTGTTTTTTTTCTTCATTTTACTCTTTCGAATTTCAATTTTTTAAAAAATGATTCGAATTTCGATAAACGGAATTTTGTAAAGCAAAAGGAAAAAACATAAAAAAAATGATAACAAGATTTTTTAAAAATCTGAGATAGAAAAAAAATGAATTTAAAATTGAAAACATTTTAAGATTTGAAATCTTAAAAATCAAAAATTTCAATTGAAATTCAGATTTTCGAATGTTCGAATGTTCGAAAAAAAAATTCGAATAAGACATGCGTACTTGTAGATCCGACTCACAACCTGATCTATTCTGAAGATTTTTGAAAATTTTTCTTCATTTTTTCACTTTTTCAATTCAAAAAAAAAATCAATAAATCAACTAATTAACCATGTTTGTGGGTAAAATATGTCACAAGAGAGAAAGAAATACGACTTACGATTAATTAAACTTTAATTGTTTGTTTTTTTGGTGGTGGAATTCAGCCGCAAAAAAACAAGAATTTTCAACGATGATTATGATGATGATGATGAAAAGGAAAAGAACGAACAAGAACGAACGTTTTGTCGAATGATTGTTTTAAATTTAATTCGGAAAAATTCAACAACGACGACGACGATTAAAATTTATCTGTGAACAAAATTGCTAGTGGCTTGATGGTGATCTTTACACATTGCATCAAGTCACACACTGTTGAAAGACAAACACGAGTTTATGTTGATCGCATTTCTCTTCCACCAATATTATCGCCAATTTTAATTGATAATTTATTGATTGATTTTCTTATTCAACATTATCTTTATTGATTGATTGATTGATTGATTAGACAAGAATTTTTTTTTGTTTAAAAAAATGTCACCAAAGAACGAAAATTTTGTGATATGATTTATATATAGGTTTCTTTTCGTCGTTCCCCTTATAACAACTTTTTAATGATAAAATTTTGTCTTCAAACAGTGTGTTGTTTATTTGGTGATGATGATCAACAAGCATGCATTTTTGGACGACGACGACGACAACGATGATTGTGTGATGAATGAATGAATTTCTTCTTTTTCCCCGGAGAGTAAAAAACATTGGTAGAAGCATTTGTGGATATAGAAAAGTTATTATCATCATCACTTCGAGGATGTTATAGCACATGGTGCATGCATGTGCTGTGTGTTTGTGTTTCGTTTGGTTTGGTTTTTTGGTTCACATGTTATACACGATGGGATTTTTTTTTTTTTTTTGAAAAAAAAAGAATTTCTGAAGAGGAAAAAACCCTTGATAATCGATTATTGATTATTGATTTGTTGCTTACTTAGACCAAGATTATCGCTCTTCAGCAGTTTCTTTTTCCAAAGAAATTCTGATTTCTGTTTTTTCATTTCATTTCAACAAAATAAATGTTTGCCGTTGCGGTCGAAATAGTTTTTTTTTTTTGTTTTTGTTTTTACAGATCATTTCAAAAGATGCCAAACGAGACAAAATGATGATGATGATAAAAACATAGAGAATCCTCTGATAGTCATTGTCTTTGTCTTTTGTTGGTGTGTGTTTAAAAATAGCTTAATCTTTTCTGTTTTTTTTTCGCAATTCAAACAAAAACAAGCAGAAAACAAAACTATCATGTCACATTTTTTCTTTGTCATGTTGTTTTCGGTTTTAGAAAAAGTAAAAAAGACTAAGTTTTTTATCTTAAGATCGATTTAACCTACCTTATTTTGTTGTTGTTGTTGTCGACGTCGTTGTTCTTCATCGTCGCCGTCGTCAGGGTTGGATTAACGAAGGGATTATCATCGTTTGGTTTTTTAAATGTCAAAAGATAATTTCCGTACGCGCGAGCGCGTTATTTGAAAAATTTGAAAATTTGAATTTTTTTTTCAGTTCGAATTTGCTATTCATAAAATACGTTCCAGGAATATTCCAATCAGCTGATGAATGGAAAAATGTGACCGGGAAGGAAAAAATGCCGCTATTTCCATTCAAAAGATAGGATTTTTTTGAATTTTTTTTCTTAAAACAAAAATGTCAACAATCGTTGAAGCATTAAAACAAACCAAAAAAGGTCAATTAAAATATGATTGTAATTGGAAAGAAGAAGGACGTACCGAGGTATGTTGGTTGATTGTGGTAAAACTCGATCGAATTTTTTTTTTGATAATTTTTTTCTTTTGGTTTCAGGAAATTGTCAATTCGGTTAAACAAAATTTAGCCACATTAAATCTATCACCATCAACAAAAATTCAATTAGCATTATCGAATAAATCGCAACTATCATCATTGCCAACAATCAACTCTAATAAGAATGGTATTGATAATAATCATCATCATGAAAAACTTATCGATTCACTTGATCATTTGATCATTGATGATAATGTAGATGATGAAAGATCTAATGATCCAAATTTTTCAATAACCGATATTGAGTTGAAAAATTATGAAAAACAAAAAAAAATTGAAGTCATTCAACGATTAGAACAACAACAACGTAAATGGAATGAAAAAAATGAATCAATAATGAAAAAATATGAAGATCAAATTCGTATGATACAGAAAAAATATCTACTTGAATCGATGAGATTTCAGAAAAAATATGATGAAGAAATTCAACAATTACAAGAAGAATTGGACAATTCAATAAGGCCACAATCGATATCATCAGTATCAACGAATGATGATATTAATAATGAAAATAAAAAACGTAATCTAAAATTAAAAGAAATTGAAGAAAAACATAGAATATTATTGAAAGAAAAACAACTTAAACAAAATGAACTGCGAATGCAGATAAATGTTTCAAAGGAAAAAATTAATAATTCTATTCGAATGTTTGATGATTGTTTGAAAGAATTTCCAAACGATGATGATCTAAATCATCAAAGAAATATTGCCAAATTATTAGAACAAGATATTGAAGTATTACTTTTATCAAGAAATGAATACAGCGATGAAGATAGGATATTATGTGAAAATAAATTGAAAGAATTTTTAAAAATTAATGAAAAATTTTTCAATCGTTTCAAGGAATTGAAAAAACACACACCTGTACAACAACAACAGCGAAATGAATCAAAATCAAACAACCTGTCCATTGAAAAGTCCATTGAATCAAATAATGAAATGATCGTGCAACCCGTAATCAATAATAATACTGATAATGTTCAAGAAAATATTGTAAAAAATAAATTTCAATCATCCCATAATATTTACATTGAATATCAATCAAAATTGCTAAAATTTGAAAATCTTTGTCAACAATTTCAGGATAATGAATTGAAAAAACCATTACGTACAGCATTACAGCTGTATGTTCGTAGTATAATCAATACTATAAGTAATATATCGGTTGAACATTTACGTGAAAAAGTATCCAGATTATTGAATTTGTTTGGACAAAAATATTTTGAACATAGAGGGAAAAAAATTCATATTAGTGATACTGATTATTCATATCATTTTGCCATTAATACGGCCGTAAGAATTATATTGGTAAGTTTTTTTGGTTTGAAAATTCTCTCTTAATTCAGAATTCATTCATTTTTCGTTGATTTTTTAAATAGACAGTAGCAAGTAAACAACAAAATATATCATTAAAATTAGCACCAGTTATTATAATATTATGGGCAAATGTTCCAATGTTTGGTGATATATTTCTTTCACATTTATATCTACATTGTCCATATGTAATACCATATTTTCCCACTCGGACAATGAATCAAAATGAAATTGAATACACTGTTGTTTGTGGTTATCAATTGGATAAAAATGGTCAATTAGAAAAGGAAGAAACATTTCAATCAAGAATGTTTTCATTAATGGAACTGTATTCATCCATTATACAATGTAATATGCCCATGGAAGAACATCCACATAATATACAATATGGTTGGAAATGGTTGGCAATGATATTGAATGATCAACCATATGATCAATTAACAGCATTATTATTGGATGCATTTCTTTCAATGTCTGGTCATAAAATGTTATCCATTTATGGTCGTCAATTTTTAAAATTATTTCATTTTATACAAACAAATTTTATACGAAAAATTGAAACGATTACATCAAAAGAATCAAGACAAACTTTGATGAAATTTAAATCATTATTAGAAAATATGGATGAAAAATTATCGCAATTAAACAATAACATGGGAAATGTTGAACGTATAGCAAAAGAATTATCACCAAATGGTCTGGTACCGAATTATTTTTTTACAAAATCTTATATTTTTATGTCTAAACGATGAATTTTTTTCTTTTCTTAATTACAAAATAAAATTATTCTGTTTACAATGTTTGTTTCAAAGTTTTTTTTTAATTTTGTAAATTTTCCTTTCCACGATTGAGGTCATTCAAGATTCAAAATGTGCAATTTGACTTGTTAAATTGCCAATCAACGCAAAATATATTTGTTTTTTTTTCATTAAAATTTTTTGTTTTTCATTTTGTTTTGTTTTTCTCATTGAAATTAATTTTCATTTTGAATTGAAATTGCCTAATTCGAAGTCAAAATTGAACAAAATTGAAAACGCAGTTAGAAAAAACAAAAAAACCGCAATACTTTTCCAATATGGACAGCGAAATGAACAAAAAAAAATCGGCGATATCGACGCCAATAAGTTACGGGCGGTTGATTTTTTTCCTGATTTTTTTTCACTTCTTTTCTCGACAAAAAAGTTCTTCAATAATAATAACGAATTGTCAAAATTGAAATGTTTCCAATGTGAAATGAAAGAAAACGAAGAAAACGAAGTTTATTATGTTTGATGTGTGTGTGTAAAGTATTGATTAGTTGAAAATCAAAAATCAAAAAACCAAACCAAAAAAACCAAACGAAAAAATCATTACATTTCTCATTCCATTTGGAAATTGTAGAATCACCTCGGTGTGTTTATCATCATCATCGTTGTTATTTCTTTTTCCACGAAATTAAAAATAAATCTTCTCCAGGTCTCATCTTTATCTGATTTTTATTAACTTTGTTCATTTTTTTTTTCACCCAGTCTCTCTCTCTCTCTCGATATTTTCTTCTCTGTTTTTTTTTTGTTCATTTCAAATCGAAAAAAAAACTAAAATTTGTGCGAATTAAATTTTGGCAAAAAACAAAATGAAATAAAAAAAAATCATTATTTCTTGTCATCATCTGTATCGAATGAATTTTATTACCTCGAAAAACGAAACGAAACAAAACGTTTTTGATTCGACAATTTTCATTTTTTTAAGGAGAAACTTTTTTTTCAAGGTTTTCTTCGAAAATATCCGATTGATTGATATTTTTTTGTTTTCTTTTCTTCGGTTGGTTTTTTTGTTGTTGTTGAAATAATACCATCCGAATGTTGTTGTTGTTGTTGTTTGTTTTCAATGTCTGTATTCAATGATGATAACAATAATGGCTAGATTTATAATAATTTTTCAATTATTATTATTTATTGTTATATTATTACGAATCGAAATGACATTATCATCAACATCAACGAATGTTACAGATTCATCATTATTGATAGCAGCACCGAATCAAACCGATATAACAACAACAATATCATCACCGGCAATCATATCGACATTGGATTCAAAAACAAATATTACATCATCATCATCATTACCATTATCGATTAAATCATCATCATCATTGATCAATCATCCATCATCATCGATTATTTATCATCATCATCCATCATCATCATCATCATCTATAAATGAAACAAATATTAATGATTATTATCAAAATAAAAACAATAATAACAATAATAACAACAACAATAACAATAATAATAATTCTTCATTACAATTATCATCAATGGTCGTATATGATGAAAAACCAATATTAGATTCGATTAAAATTTTGGCCAATACAAAACCAAAAATTATTTATAGCGATAATAATGATGGTGGTGGTGGTAACAATGAATATCATTTAGAACGTGATATTGATCATTATTTTAATGATAAAGATAAACGTATACTATTTCGACATAATAAGGGTGGTGATTCGAATGTTGTTGGTGGTGATAATGGCCAGGATGATGATCAAGATGATGACGATGATGATGATGATCTTATAAAATTAATCGATAATCGTAAACAAGTTGTAAATATTATTGAAATAAAACGTCCACCAAAAAATATTCGTCCACCTGAAACAATTATTTATAAAGGTAAACGTTTTCGACTATTTCGACCATCAAATCATTTATTACAACGAGCAAGGAAATCACATATATTACCAGCTGAATCTATTGTTGAAGATGATTCACATGATCATAATTACCATCATCCTCATCATCATGGACATCATGGACATCGACATCATTATCAAGAAATTCCTATAAATCGATCAAATCGAAATAAAGGTAAGCGAAAAAAGATAATTCTTTGGTAAAAATATCATTCGATTTTTATATTATTCAAAGTTCGTATAGGAAGAAAAGCTTATTCAAATGTTGGACAATTAACTGAATATCCACCACCACTATCACCACCACCACTATTACCACCAATAAAACGTGGACAACCAATGATAGCTAAAGTTTATTGGCGACGAACAATTTATCCAATTTCACCGTCATCAACGACAACAAATCGTCCCAAACGTAAAACCATCTATGAAACAATAACAACAGCATCGACAAACGATGATGATCAACAGCGACAAAAAAATCCAGATAAAAATACTGAAAAATATATTGTAGTTTATGTACGAAAAAATTCAAATAATTCAATTAAAACCAACAATAATGTAATGACAATGGATGAACCATTTATAGCATCATCGGATAATATTCCACAAAAGATTAATATTGTTAAAAAACATAAAAATATCGATGATAATGATAATAATGGTAAAAAATATCGATCAAAAATACCATTTAATGAACTATTTCAAAGCGATGATGAAGATATTGTTGATAATGATGGTGATGGTGATTCATGGCCATCGGATCCATACGATGATGACGACGATAATGATATTGACGATGACGACGATGATGATAATGAAAATTTTTATGATAAAAAATCTAAAAATCGAAAAAAGAAAGACGACGACGATAATAATGATGATAATGATCATCATAATAATGAAATTACCCGAAATAATGATGATAGCGATGATAATGATTATAAACAAAATGATAAAAAATATCAACGACCAATATCTGAATGGCCAGTATGGAATAAATTACATATACCACCACCACCATCATCATCAATAGTACCATCATTATCTGTACCCGAATCAAATACAAAATATATTGGAAATATTCCAATCAAAAAAACAAAACCAATCATAAATTTTTATCATCATCAATATGAATCAAATTTACCCGAATATAGATTGAATGATAATCATCATGGTAATGATAATGATAATGATGATGATGATGATGATGATTTGGATCGAAAAACATCAAATAAACGATTAAAACATGGAAATAATTTGATTGAAAAATCATCATCACCATCGAATAAAAAAATTCATATTAATAATCAACATTTGAATGGAATTGATCCACAACAACAACAACAACAACAGCGACGACGACAAAAACGAAAAAATCCTCAACAACAAAATCATCATTCAAAATCAAGTCAAACGAAAAAATTTTTCAAAATTGTTAATTATAATATTGATCAATGAAAAGGAATATTTGTAACAACAAACAAAACAAAACAAAAAATAAAAATCTGTTTGTATTTTGAATTTATAAATTTTTTGTTTTTGTTTTTACTTAATTAACATCAAAATATGCAATTAAAAATGAATCCAATTCATTGTTGTTGTTGTTTTATTTTGTTAATTAATTATCACAAGAAATTCATAATAACAACAACAACAGAAAAAAACAAGGATGGATAAATTGAATCGAATCGAATCGAAAACAAAACAAATCCGGAAAAAAAATCCTGTGTGTGTGTCGCAATAGTCACTATATATATTTGCAGATGGGGTTTTTTTCTGTCATTCAGATAGTCCATAAGGTATTTTATATTATCGATTAATTAATTAATTGGATAATATTAATTAACGAAAACAAAAAACAGATGAAAAGAAAAAATTGGTAAATTAATTAACGAAAAAAAAAACAATAGGAAAATGAAACAATTACAAGGTGTAATGAAAATTTCTGTGTCCCTGTGTCTGTGTGTGTAAATTGAGTGTTAATGAACCTCAACAACAACAACAACCGCAAAATTATATTGAAAATTTTGGATATAATTATCAATTTCCCCCCCCCGACAATTTACCACCACCACCACCACCATTCTTGAACGTTGTGCGGTTGACAAAATTGTGAGCGAATAAGCAACAAAAAGAAAAACACTAATCCTTATAAAACACTTAACAATCAATCAATCAATCAATCAATCAATCAATTAGGTTAGATTCAATTCAGAGAAAATGAATGAATACAAAATGAATATGAATTGAAGAAACAAAACAAAACAAAATGAAACAAAATGTTGTCGGTCAGGCGATCAATCGATCGAATCGATCGATCGATCCATTCGAAACATTGTGAACGAACGATTGACATTTAGTGCATGACGGATAGATTGATCATTTTTTGTTTTGTTTTTTCCCCTTGTTATTTGGTTTTTTTTTGTTACTGTCAATATTATCTTACATGTCTTTTTCCTTTCTTTCATTCATTCATTTTTAGCGAATCAATTTTCAATTTCAATTTTTTCATCATTTTCAAATTGATATTTGAAAATTTTGTTGACATTTTCGTTTTTAATCTTTCCGTTGTTGTCGTAGTCATCAACAGTCCCCACCACCTCCCCCACATCTTCATTCAAAATCCAACCACCCACCATTGTTCCGTTTTGTTTTCATTTTTACAATTTGTAACAATCTTTTTTTCTTTGAAAATTTGATACATTTTCTAATTTTGTTTTCAACAAAAAAAAATTAATTATAATTTCAAATTTATAAAGATTATAAAAATCACATCATTTGATAATGATTACGGTTAAATATATATGTCATGAACTATGAAATGGTTTAGGTCGACGAGCAATGTTACCAATTGTCTCCATATTATTATGGTGGAAAAATCCAAAACAAATTCGGCTTCGACAATTTTAATTCGACAAAATAATAATAAACTTCGATCGATCGATTGATGGTGGTGGCGGTAATCGTTTGTCGACGATATTTTCACATTTGTCATCCAACAACAACATCAATTCAGACATCAAACATCAACAACTGTCTCCTTCCGATATATTATATGTCGAGTATATAGATTTCCAATGTAGATCAAAAATTATCGGGTCGGATTTGAATTGAATTTTTGTTTATTTGTTGTTTGTTCCAGATTTTTTCTTCGTTGTTCCTTATCCAATTTTGTTGTTGTTGTTGATGAAATTGAAAAGTAAAGATTGGGTTTCGACGTAGACGATGATGAACAAAAATGATCCTAAAGAGTTTGACAAGTTCTTAAATCGGAAAAGAATTGAATCGAAAGTGAAAAGCAAAAATGGTAAAGAGAAAGATTAACACCACCAACAACAACAACAACAAAAGAGAAATTAAAGATTTGATTTTTTTTTTCGTAAAATCGATACAATCGATTTTTTTTTGTATAGATCTTCAGGTATAAAAGATCAAACAGATTAATTCGAATGAAAAGGTAAAAATTTTAAAAAAATTTTTTGTTGTTGTTGTTGAATTCCTGTGTTTAATGTTTCAAGTTTTTTCCAGTGTTTATTCGTAGTGATTTTTTTTTAATTTTTATTGGGTGTTTTAAAAAAACATTTTTTCCCGTTGACAAAATGAAAAACATTTTTTTTGTCATTTATCATATGGGACAAGACCGAAAAAATTGATTAAATAAATCAGATAAACAACCTTTGTGTTTGTGTTCTGTGTTTGAAACAAAACAAAACCGAATTGAATTTGAATAATTTTTCGGGCGAAATAACCAGAAAAATAAAAATCGATAAAAATGTTTGTGATATTAATCCTAATGATCAGTAGTGTTCCATCATTATTTTTGATTGGAACAATCAATGCTATTGGTAGCATACCATCATCATCATTAACATTATCACGAACAACAACACATAATAGTGACAATAATGATGATAAAAATCAATCATCAAATGCAACATCAACTGTATATTTTCATCAATATTTGCCAAATAATAATAATAATAATGATAGCCAACAACAACAACAATCTTCACCACCATCAACAACAGCAAAAGAATTGAATCTAAATTCATCTGAAAGTAGAAATTTTTACAATAGTTATGATCCATGGACATTAGATGATCCAAATATTAAACATTATCCACCAATACCAATGGATATTGTACGTAATAATCCACGTGATGATGATGATAATGATGGACAAGCAGGTAAGCTAAAATCAAACACACAGAAAAACAATTCAGATAAAAATGAATTTGTTTTTTGTTTTTTGAATGCAAAAAAAAACTAACAATTAGATTATGATGAAGGTGATTATGATGACGATAATGATGATATCGATAATGATGATGAACAACGACAATCACCAACAAATGATAATCAAGGAGATGGAACGGTAAAGAAAAATATTTATAATAATGAACAAAATAAAAATGCACAAAAAATTATTGATGAAATTGATGGTGATATTGATCGACAGGAACATGATAATGGCCAAGATGATAATGATTTCGATATACCATGGAATAATGATGATACATCAGAATTTGATCAGGATAATTCAGCATCATTCAATATACCAAGCCGTGTGGAAGCATTAAAAGGATGTAAAACGGTAAATTCTTTTTCGTTTTCTTTGTTTGTTTATTCTATCTTCACTCTTATTTCCCATATAATTTGATTTGAATCGATTGGATTTGAAACGGTAATGTAATTCAAATCAATGAATCTTTTTGCCTTGCTTTTTTTTTGTTTTTTTCTATCATTTGTTTTGTTTTTTTGTTCACATCGTATGGCTGATGATGAAAACAAAAACCAAAACCAAAAAATCAAACAGGTTTACAAAGAAATTTCAGCATCATTACCTGGACAATCAGCAACAACGAACGGTAATAACGTAATGAGTGATGATGAATTTCGTAGACGACGTAAAAAACGTAGTTTGGATAATGATGATGATGATGATAATGATGGAAAATTAGCTGCTGCTGCTGCTGCTAAACGAGGTTCGTACATTATGACACGTGAATGTCATTTTATTGATGGTGATAAAAATAAACAAAAAATTAATCCAACAACAACAACGAAAACATCATCAAATATTCATCAACAAGGAACAAATACTGGTGAATCAAGATTTATACCGATTAATGCTGATTATCCTCGTTATCCACGTAATGGTATAATGATGAAATCAATACCTCAACATCAATATCATCATCATAATAATAATCCATTTTCACATAATCATCTTTATTATAATAATAATCATCATGATTCTCGTCAAACACCAACATCGCCAACATCTTCAGCATTTAGCAATAGTGATGATAATGATAGTGGCAGCAGTGGTATTTTATCATCATCAAGACGACGACGAACACCAAATTATTTAGAATCAAATCGTGTTGATCCATTTTCATTTCAATCAGAACGAAGACCAATAAATTCATATGGTGATTCTAAATATAAATTTCGTCATACATCAGCTGCTGATTCAAATGTACCATCATCAAATGGTGGTGGTGGAGGTGGTGGTAATAAAGGCATTACAAAACGTTATTCAACTAGATTTAATTATTTTCATCAACAACCAACGAAAAAAACTAATTTAATTCCAGCTAGAAATTATGATCATGGACAAGCGTCTATTCCAGATACTAACTCTGCTCATTTAGGTTCTTCAGAATTTAATGATGAAAATGTTAATGATCTTGGTAATGATGATGGTAAGCTTTTTTTTTGTTGAATAGATATTATTTGTAATTTGTAATTAAAATTTTCTTTTTTTTTACAAAAATAAAAAGCACCAGATGATCCGGATGATACAGATCCCGAAGATTTATTACTGCATAATGATGTAAATGATTTTGCATCATCATCATCATTATCAACACCAACAAAAATTCATGGACAAAGACGTTTATTATTAGCTGATGATGATGGTTTTGGCGATGGTTACGATGATGGCGGTGATGATCATAGTGGTGGTGGCGGTGGTGGTGGTGGTGAAGCCAACAATGATGATGATGATTATTCGGTAAGCTTTGGTGGTGGAAAATTTGATTCTTATGACTACGATTCAAACAATAAAAATAAAAACAAGGATCATGATGATCATGGTGGACAAGGCGATAATTCGGATGGTGGTGGTGGTGGTTCAGCCGATTATGATGGAGATGATGGTGGTCAAGGTGATGATTATTCGGGCGATTATGATTAACGAATTTATGCAACACAAAAAAAAATATCTAATTTGGATCGAAAATCAACACGGTACACATCAAAACATTAAACAACATCAACTATATCAACTATATTCATTCATTCATTCATTCATTCATTATGACACATAATTGAAATTGCATCCTATCAACAACAACAACAAAAACTCATCTTAATTATCATCAACATTATTATCATCTTCATCATCATCATCAACAACAACAACAAAATAAACAACACAATTATTCTAGCGATATCAACAACAACAACAACAAAAAATACATTTCATACAACAACAAGAATCCAGAATCTAGATCTTTCATCTAGGCAAAAAAAAAATTCTTTCATTTAATTCTCATGAGGCATTTTTTTTCTCCATTTATTTATGAATTTATCATCATACATTCTACATCATCATTCTACATCAGCATCATCCAACATCATTCTACATCAGCATCAAATATTACCACAAAAACATTCCATTCCACTTTATTTGTTCATTTATTCATCCATTCATTCATTCATCCATTTATTTTCTCATCGTTTATATAATCCTCATAATACAACAACAACAACAACAACAAAAACATCTTTTTCAATCAAAAAATATATTTTCATCATCATCATCATCCAGTATCATCCGGCATCAAATATTCACATGACAAATCAGAATCACCAGAATACAGAATACAAGACAAAACAAAAAGCCTTATTAAGAAAAAATTCCACTATATCATCAATATAATCAATTATTTATTCTGCCTGAATAGAATTCTTATCAAATCATCATCAACATTATTATTATACATCCAAGAACAAAACAAAAGCAAAACAAAAATCGATTAAAAATTGAACATATCAGAAGCACAAAAATACCAGAAACACACACCTACACACACATACCAGACCTATATTCTCATTGTTTGATTCATACACATACCCATAGCAATATAATGGAAACGAAAGAAAATTCCTTTGTTTTTGTTTTGTTTCAAGCTTATATCATTCTTCATGTAATTCATTCATTCATCATCATTCATATCCAAATCTTTATCATTCAACAACAACAACAATTCAATACTTTTTTGTTGTTGTTGTTTGGTTTTCAATTTCATCGCATATTAATCATCTTTATTCATTCATTCATTCATTCATTTTCTTGTCTTTATCAATTCATCATAATCATTGCATAATCATCATAATCTTCATAATCATCAACAACACTTTTCCCTTTCCTTCGCACACAGTGTTAGTAAAATTTGTAACCAAAAACAAAAAAAAAAATGATTTACTTTTGATATGGTTTTCACCCTTCCCTTCTAATTAATGAATGAATGAGAAAATATTGCAGAGAAAACAAAATTTACATTAATCAAGGATTATCTCATTGAAACAAAAACAACAACAAAAACAAAAATTATATACCTGTAAAGCACATAAAAATTGAATATATAATCTTCTGTTTGTGAATGATGAATGTTTTTAAACAACAAGTAGAGAAGAGAAGTATAGTGGGAGAAAAAATTTACATTTTATACACCTGGTTGGTGGAAAATCATTCAACTGTATTTCATTTTGAAAACAACAACAACAACAAATTTACAATAAAAAATCCCTTTTCGTTAACAGAAAAAAAACTTTGAATTTTTTGTTTTCATTTTGGATTTGGATTTTCATTGGAAAATTATATGTGTAATTTTTCAATTTGTTTCGTTTTTTGTTCGGACTGATATTGAGGAGGAGGCGGGAAGAAAACAATTAGATCAGCAATCAAGTAAATGAAAAAAAAACCCTGGATAGATTTTCACATGAGATTTTCTTTGGTTATTGAAATTGATTGTAAAATCATCATTTGAATAAATGAAAAACGATGATGATGATGATGATTACAATGTAAGTGAGAAATTTAAATTAAAAATGATGAGAATCAGAATGAAAATGAAGGAAAAAAACAAAATTCTATCAATCAAACGAAAAGAAATGACAGTGTTAAATCATCATAATGATATGGAGATTTTTTTTACTTCTTTTTCGTCTTCGGAAAAAATAATAATAATAAAAAAATCAAGGCGACAAAATGAATGTTTTTTTTTCACAACCACCACCACCACCATCATCGTTTCGGTTGTTCGCGGCCATCATTAATACCAATGAAATAAGCGGGTAATTCAGAGAGAGAGAGAGAGAGAGAGAGAAAATTTATTGGTCCGAATAATCTTCATTTTTTTTTTGTTGAACGTTCAAATTAATATCATCATCGAAATTGTTTTGATCTAATTTCTATCATTATCATTATTTAATCTCACTGTGTTTGTGTGTGTGTGTGTGTGTGTGTAATAAATATACCTAATTCTCACAGGCAATGAATGAATGAATGAATGGAAAAAAAACAAAATTACAAATCGGTTATTACAAAACGGGTAATCAAAAAAAAAAAAAACCCAGTTCTATAATTTCCAACTAAAAAAAAAAAAAAATTTCATTGGACCATAATTATAATTTTTTTATTTATTATG